GCAGCGATAAGAGGCCAAGCAGATATAGTTTTCCGGCTTCTGAACCATTAGGATCCTGTGCGACACAATTTCTCTGTGGAGCCCTTGTGGCGGAGGTAACAAGTGCAATTGCATTGAATAAATAGGGATTTCAGTTAGAAGCAATCCAGTATAGGGGCGGCATGTGCAATACCGTTGCCTGCATGGCATATGCGCCATGAAATATGAGGGTTGTTGAACTTTTAAACGAAAGAAAAGGCATCGTCCAAGCTTTGTCATCTGCACCAGTTTCGGTTCGTACTCGCGCTCGAAACACGACCCTCGCATGAAATGCTCCTCACCTTCGACATTTTCCGTCTCATCTCCCTATTCTCCATTACGTTCGCTACCCGTATCAGATATGGAAGATATGCTGCCCGTGATGCCGCTTCAGCAGGTCCAGGCGCGCATATCCCAACTTACAAGGGACACCCGTGCAACGGGACTGTTCCCAGATGATCAGAATATTCCTCGACCTCCCCCAATACCAGAACATATTGCGACTCGCATCAACACAAAAAGGGACAAGAGGAACCCGTTAGCACAGAAGGAAAAGGATACGAAAGCATACTTTAACGTCCTGCGAGAACTCGGGGAGTACGTACACGAAAATAACCAAAAGCATATTGACAATCCGAAAATGCATTACCGCTGGTACGACGCAACGCTTAGCGATAAGCAGAGGATTGAAACGCTTATGCGGATTGTTGAAGACTTTACTCTTAGGATCCTGGGAAGCAAATATGGAGAAGAAACATACGACAAGTTATATCGAAAACTGCCCCATCATCTCACCCTTATCATCCTCGAAGCAGCTTCGGACGCTAACTTCGACCCGTTGACGCAAGGGGTCCGCAACTACGCCATTCGAAAGATCGTCTCTGCGAAAATGTTCTCAAAACGCAAGGCAAACATTGCCGCCAAGAAGATGGAAAAAGAGCGCACTCGTCAGCTTTTGATTGCACCTGCTACTACGAATGGATGTGGAAAAACGGGGCAAACAAGTACCAAGGACATCGCACTGGAGATCCATTCGAACTGCGACATGCCATCAGATTTCTTCAGTGGTCCTGCTTGTACTACTGTGGCGGATCTGCCAAACGACATTGCCGTAGCAGTCCCTGAATACAATGTGAATTTCGCGTTAAGCCCCTCCGAAGCACCCGGGGAAAGTACCGCAAGATTTGTGGGGCGCACTCCGACCGCAGTAACACGTCAAAATCATGCATCGCATTATATTCACAACAAATTGGGGTCCCGAAAGCCGAGCGTTGAAATACCGGTTCCCGACCATTATGAAACTCGAAACAAACCAAACAAAGGGCTTTCAGCGACTGATGCTGTTGCATCTCGGGTCAGTGCAAACCCACGTTTCCGCGGTCGCAAGAACAAAAAAGAGAATAGGAAGACCGGAAGTGAAGCAAACGCTTTGATCGTCGCCGCTATCAAAGTGCCCGAATTGGTAAAACCCCACGGGAAAGATGGCGAAAATGGGGCTGATGACTGTAAAAAAACTGCGAAGGGACGCAGTGCAAGAGACAAGAGCCACGGTAAGAGTGTCGCGAAAGAAGCACAAGACAAGATCCAAAACGTACCCCATGTTTCCGAATCGAACGCGATGCTAGTGGAATTCGAGGCCTTTCAAGCATGGAAGGCCGAGAAATTGCGCCGGGCAGGCGTAAAGAGCAAGAAGAAGTCAAATGTCAAGCGTAAGGCGAGTTCGTTATCGCCAACGCCCAAGAAGAAGATTCGAGCTCCGCATTCAAGAGAGGAGGCCGAATGCCCCAATGAGGGGGATGAAGCGTAAGAATGATGAGACGAAAAAGTGTTGACGAGCTTTTGTTTCTTGCGACTTGTAGTGAGCTGCATGATATCATAGAAATAGGAAGATTGCCGTAGTGACAGGCCTGCCACCTTGTCCCAGTGCGATTAAAACTTTCGTTCATGCGTATATCCTTGCGAAGATAGCAAGACGAGCGCAGAGACGTAAACACCGATGATCCCTTACTTTTCACATTTGCCCGATCGGAAAACGAGAATCTTGAAGTCTTCACATGGATCCTCGGGAGCTTGAAGTGTAGAGTGCCGTGGAGATATGGGTTAAGGACATATTGTATTGTATTGTCGGCAGTATGTATTGGTCTCTTTGCTTTGTCTTGTCCTGAGTATACAGATTGGCCGGTTTGTCGTACGGGGTGGTTGAAATTCTGCGTTGGTGGCGATAGGAAAGAAGTGCTGGTCTGCGACAAAGCCGGACCAAGTGTAAGTTTGGGTCAGGCCGAGGTTTGCGGAGTTGGTCCCGGAGGAGGACACGAAAAGCTCGCCGTCTTCTGCCTGCAAGTAGAAGAGGGTGGATGAGGAGGGTTAGTATGGTTGGCGTGGCGTGATAGAAAATTTCTTAAGTTGAGAAATTGTGACTGTTCGTACCTGGTATCCTTCGAAGATGAGGGAGGTGACGGGAAAGTTGAGGTATCTAAAAACGTTGAGCAGGGCGTCCCTGACAACTGCCAACTCCCCTGCAGGAAGCAGGGCGTACAGCTACGGTGTGCACGGGAGAAGGAGGAAGAGTGTGTGAGTAGAGCGGGTACAAGACCAGGATGCGGTGGCGAGCGGGCATGGCACAATGTACGCGTTTGACCTCGTGCTGCAAGGCGTCGACCTCCTCCCTGTGAGGCTGAGCGGGAAGCCATGCGCGCACGTCGGCCAGCATGAGCACAGTGGCGTCGACGAAGCTCGCGGGCGTGTCGCAGCGCAGCGCGTGCAGATTGACGGCCATGGCCGCGATGCAGAACACCTACGCGGCGCACGGACTCTCGTGGGGAGGTTTTGCAGGCGGGTGTCGTTTAGAGCGATGTCTCGCTCCTACGAGCGAGCACGTCTCGCTCGACGCTCAGTGGGCGACGCACCGTCTCGAAGCTGCGCTCGTCGACGCGCAGCGCATCGTACGCGAAGCACGCGCGGAACATGGCCCTCATCTCGTGCGGCGCGCGCAGCGCTCGCCCGCGGAAAGCGCGCCGCGCCAGCGCCAGCAGCTGCGCAGCGACTGCGTAGAGCACTGCGCGAGGGGCGGCGGGGTGTCCGGGGCGGGGCAGCGGGACGCCAGCGGCAGCGCGCCACGGTCAGGACGCGATCGCACCGTCCTCGCACAGGGGCGAGCGTGCTACGCGCCACGCCTGCACACGCGCAGCGAACAAGAAAACCAGCTCGGCGGCCATGTTGGCGGCGTAGAACGGGGAGGCGCACGCGGACGCCGTCGCGCTGGAGCCGGGCGGGGGGGCGGGGGTAGCGGGTGGCGGGTCCGGCCGTGGGCGCCGAGCGCGCGGTGTAGCGCAAGGCGCGGCACGTGCACCGAATCGCGCGTGGGCACGCCCACACACGTGTACGGCACGAGGCGCGCTCCGGCGGCTCGCGCGTGACGTGGGCGCCGCCGCCGCACTTGCGCGGCCCGGAAACACCCGCATTACACCGCTTTACATCCCGCCGTACTTCGCCGGTACACTACTGTCCGTACCCGCTACACAACCTCCGTGCGTTCCGCTTTACCCCTTGCCCTTCTCTTTCAACCCTTGGGCTCGGCGATTACCCCTTGCGTTCTGTTCCCCCTTCCCCGCCCGCCCCCGCCCGCAACCGCCCGCCCCGTGATGGACTCTGCGCCGCCCGTGGCGCCCCCGCCGCTGCTGCCGCCGCTCGCCGCCGATACGGCCGCGCTGTCCGCGTGGCTCTGATAGACTTTTGACAATGCAAGGAAATTCCTGATGATCTGCGGCGGCGGCTACTGCATACTGTATGCTCTTTCTACATACCGGTGAACACGAAGAAGCGGGTGTACATGGTAAAAACGCTCAGCGACCGGGGAATCGACCTAGGAATCGACCTGGGAATCGAACTGGACTTGTGGATCGAGGACATGGACGATGCGTTTTTCGACATGATCCCCGTGTACGCCACCGGGATGCGACAGTAGACACGGCGGCGCTTCCGGGCGGATAGATTTACCATCTCAAAACACAACCTCCGCCATCCGCCATCCCCCGCCCTCATCGCGCGCCTCATTCCCTCTCCAACTTCCACCATGTCTCCCACCGCCGCTCCCACCATGCCCTGCTTCATCTCCACCTCCCTCCCGCTCCGCCGTGGCGTCGGCTCGTCGCCGTCGCCGGACATCACGCGCCTCTTCCCGCGCTTGTACGCCGCGCCGCGCCGCAGTCGCGCCTCCATGTCCCCACGCCACCTCCGCCCCTCCCCTTCCACCTCCTCTCTGACATCTCCTCCGTCAACAGGACCTCGCTCTACACCACGGCCTTCATCTTCTTCCTGACCTTCCGGGGTGGCATTCCCTTCATCAAGGTCTCGACCAAGCCGCGCATCACCCAGGCCGCCTTCACGCTGCGCGAGCCGGCCCCGCCCTCGCCAAGCGCAGGGCCCGGCATTGGATGGAGCGCTCCCTCGTCCCCGACCTGGAGAAGGACGGCCGTGACGTCATCGCCACTTTCGCGGGCAAAGTTCGGGCCAGCTCAAGCGTCACTTCCATTTTGGTCGCCGTTACTGCCAGTGGCATTAGGAGCGCAAGCTATATTCTTAACTTTGTCCTCCCACAATCCTTGCAGAGCCCGTATTATGGCTAGTTGTTACTGCTCTCTGTCCTCACCGTCACCTGGTATTGGAAGCAGGCTAGTCGCGTCGAGGAGGTCAAGGTCATGGTCGAAGAGGAGGACTCTCGCCTTAGCAAGGTCTACATCAAGGGGCATAGGGATGAGATTGAGACCATGGAGCGCGCATTCAGCTCGAAACGTGATTAATCAGTTTATGAAGGCGGTGAAAAGGACGACGCCAAACCCGCCGCCGCTCCGAGCAGTACCAATACAAGCCCATTATGCAACGCGTTTTGTTTGTGTATGTTATGTATATACTCTCTACGGTAAGGACGGCATGTACGTGTTTCATATTTTACAAACACTCACCAACAGACTCGTCTGAGCTGCTTATAGATAGTCTCCGACATTGCTCGGCAGTTCCAAATTTTGCATCGCGTAGATCCTTTCGATGGAACGCAGCGCTCCCATGTCCCCCGACGTCACAAACGTGATCGCCACTCCCTTACGTCCAAACTTCCCGCTCCTGCCAATGCGATGTAAGTACGACTCCTGCTCGTTCAGCACGTCGTAGTTGATCACCAGGCTCACCTGTTGCACATCGATCCCCCTCGACCAGATGTCTGTCGCGATCAGCACTCGCGAATGCCCCTTCCGAAACGAATCCATCACCTCGTTCCGCCGCTCTTGCGTCATGCTCCCAGACATCGACATCACCGTGAAGCCGTTCTCCACCACCTTCTTCGTAAGCCACTCAACGATTTCTCTTCTTGTTGCAAAAGATCCGCCTGCGTGATCGTCAACGTTTCGTACAGATCGCACAGAGTCTCAAACTTCCACTTTTCTTGCTCCACATCTACATAAAACTGGCAGAATCCGTCTAGGCTCAGTCACTCGCGCTTCACCAGCACAGACAATGGGTCTGTCATGAACTTTCGGCGCGAAGGCATGCAGGAGGGCTGCAGGCACGAGAAAGTGGCGGAGATGGGGAGAAAGCTCATAGATGGCGAGGAGCGGCTTTCGCAGGTCGAGCGAACGCTGCAGCGGTTCGCCGGGCTGCCGACTGTGAGTTGGGTGCGCGGCGAGGCTGTGGTTTGCGGCGTGGAGTGCGGGCGCGTAACTCACTTGGTGAGACACTTGTCTTGCATGCAACGCGCGCGAGCGTAGGGTTTGGAAGAGTGCGAGCAGTTGGTGGGCGAGGTGCGCGGAGAGGTGGCGAGCGTGGAGGCCGAAGTCCAGGCGGCGATCGGGACGATGTAGCGATGAGCGATGTTATGCGGCGGGCGGTGCGTTTTGCGGTGAGGTGGTGGATAGCAGCTACTTGGCTGCGGCAGCTGTGGAGGCGCGGTCAGCCACGGCGTCGCGCAGTGCGGCTTCGGAGAGAGGGAGCGGCTCCTGGTGGGCGGGTGGGGGGAGGAAATTGGTGTTAGATTTGAGACTGGGGCAGAGCTAGCGGAGGTGCAACGGGGGGTGGACGCACCATAGTGTCTAGATCGCCCGGGGCTTGGTGCTTGAGGAGCTTGCGGGTAGCATTCCTTCTTTGCGAAGACGCCGCCCGCCGGTGTCATGGCGCCAATGTCGGTAGGGTTGACGTTGAGGACATGTTCAAAGACGTCCAGGGCGCGTTCGCGATCATATACAGCGCTTTGGAAAGACGCCGATCCGAAACGAGACGGCCTCTTTCGCGCTGTTCATGTGCGACGCATGGGTGGCATCGGCTTGGATAGGGAAATAACCCCGGCAGCATCTCCAGGGGGACCTGGAGATGCTGCAGGGGTATTTGTAGTCCGACATGATGCATGTAGCGAGGGAGATAATAGAGTTAGACGAAACGCGCTGCGGAAGGCGAGATAGAGAGCGCGGTATGAAGGGTTGATTGTGTTTGCGGTGGCGGAGGGATCAAGCTTGGATAGCGGGTGTAGGCGAATACATGGGAGCAAATGGGAGGTTTTGCAGGGTGTGCTTGTTACACGCCGCGCCGCGCAAGCCGGAAAAGTAAACTCGAGTAGTGAGACGTAAGCGGAGGAGGGAAGGATGGAAGTCGTGTGGGATTGCTCGTTTGTGGAAGAAACATGTGAGTTAGGGAAGTGGAATACGAGATGGAGTGGGAAGGTAAGCGTAGGAAGACGAAGCGAAAATGCGTTGCGTGCAAAGAGGATGGGGGCGGGCGGCTGGAACGTACGGGGCGATGGGCAGGTAGTTAACGAAACGTGAGTGACGAGATCGGAGGGGCCAAGAAGGGTAGATTGCGAGAGGAAGATAGTGGAGAAATGGGAACGATTGAAGGTGCAGAAGGGGGGAAGGCGTAATTTTCCACGAGAGGGGCAGAAGAAGAGATGGGGGAAGGAGAAGGGAGAGACGAGTCGAAGGGAGAGGGCCTCGACGAAAAGTCGTGAGGGCGGGGTGAGGACGAGGTGGGGGTGGGAGGGGGGAGAGCTTGCAGAGTTTTTTGGAGAGTTTTATTTATTCTAGATTTTGTTTTGTTTTTCGCCAATGCGTGCTCTTGTAGGGGAACAGGTGTGCATGTGAGCAAAGAGTTCGCGCGGATGGGACGTCGTGCAGCATCCAGACACACAGCACAAGTAAACACACGGGGACGGCGCGCGTGTGGGCGCGCTTGCGTGGCTTTCTGGCAACAAACCGTCCCATAATTTCCGCAAAAAACCGAGCGGCAACTTGTAGGCATCCACATTTGGCGGTTTCTCTCCACGACAAACCCCCCTGAGTGGTTCATGGGGAAGCAACGGAATCATGTCTGAAGGAGCCGTATCTATCTAAGAAAAAAAGGGCAGGAAAGACCCCACTCATTGTTAGTCAAGCCCTACTCTACTTCTGCCGCTGTTCTCTCTCTGTTTCGAGACGTCTATCAGACGGCAAGCATCACTGCAACTGGTCCAGGACTACCATCTTTAAACATAGCACTGCGAGGCCGCGTCACTGCGACAGCTATTTACCTGCTACCGCAAACATTGCCTCCAATTCCTCTGGCTGCAGAATGTGCTCCTCTTCCGCATAGTAGCCCAGTGTCTTGCTCTTCTCCAACAGCACGCCAATCCAATGCGTCTTCAAACCGAGCGTCCTGTGATTGTAGTAAACCGTCCCGGACCATGTCCACGAAAACTTGCCAATGAAGCAACCACATTTCACCGCGAGCTCGTGCTCTACAAAGTTCTGATCATTATGCAGGAGCGAATGTTTCAAGAGCAGCGCCAGACGCACCCGCTTTCCGAATGCTTCGCGGAGCTGCGTCAGCGTCTCCTCCGGCACGTACGGCGATGCGGCAAAAAACAGCGCCGGCGTCTGCTCCGCCGCCATCAGCTTGGACACCTTGTCCACCAAGTTCCGCATTGGCGCCCATTACACAGTGTCCGGCTCGTTGATAGCTATGAGCAACCTAATGCAAAATTTGCCCTCCATCCCTGGCCTGGGCATACACGCCCTCTCGTCGCTGCGTAGGTGGAGCACGGTAAGCTCCTTGACGTTCCAGCTGGCTGCCATGTTCGCAATCCTAGTCACGGGCTCTACATAGCGCATGAAAGAGTACAAGTATTCATGCCCCACCCGCCCCCTGTGCAGAAACGTGTGTCCGTCCACTAGCACGCACGCCGGACGCGACATGTTTCTTCCGCAGCCGGCAGCGTCTGCCGGTCGCGAAGCGTGACGAGCTCATTCACCAAGCTCATACCCGGGGGGTGCGACATCTGGATAGAGGCCTCTCCACTGCGGGGATTGCAAACACGCGTTTGGCGCAGTCCTCCTGGTTTTTCGGGGTGACGTCGTCGTGCGGGTACAACAAAACTGCAGCACCTGCTTCGTCCTGGACGACAACTTGACAGGGGAGACTTTGTCGGGCGCCTTCGCGCGCGTGAAGATGTAGACGAAGTAGAAGCTGCTGGTCCACACATGCGGCAAGTGGGACAGGATGAGGGCATACAGGGCGACGGCGGCCCGCATGCGACGGAGGCGCCAGTACTTGACGCCGTGTTTGTCGAGGACGCGCTCCGTGGTAGTTTTGCTAAACTCTCGGCTGAGGAGGGAGGGGAGGAGGAGGTCGAGGTAAGCGTGGCGCGCGAGAACAAGGGCCTCGAGAAGGAAGTAGGGCTGGTTGCCGGAGTCTCCGTGCGTGAGGGCGACCAGGATGGTGTTTGGACGGCAGGTGACCACGCGCGTGGGGGGGATCATGGCCCGATGGTGGACGGTAGGGGATAAGGCGGCGGTGAGGTTGGGGGGTGAGGGGTGTAGCATGGTGAGCCGCGGCGGGAAAGGACGATGGAGTAGAGCAGGCCGCCGACGACGAGGATTTCGAGCGTGCGGCGCACGCTGGTGCGTCGCGGCTTAGTCAAACATCGAGGCCGAGGTCGAACGCGTGTTTCACGGCGACAAACGCGGGAGCCAAGCCTGCGTCCAGCCCGGTAACCTTGGGCAGAAACCGGCCCGCGACCTCGGTCTTGTCGCACGCGAAGTAATATTAACTGACGGACATCCAGCTGACGGCGCTCTTCGGATCGGGGTCAACCAGCGGGTGGGACTCTTGAAAATTGTGCATAACGGCACCCGACTTGCGAATTTCGACGAGCTATGAAGAGATGAGGGAATGCCACTCCGATGGCACTCCGCACGAACTACGGAGGGGTGATGCTACTCCGGTGGCACTCCGCATGTGATACGACAGCACTGCACGGTTGACCCAGAGTTTCACCCTACTGTACCTACTGCTACATACACACTACGTAAATACTACGATTGCACCCCTAGTCCTCTGATCGCCCTGCGGGTAGCCTACGAACGCCTACAGTACGGTTGCTAGGGAAATGCGCTTCTGGCAGAGCAGCTCAAGAAAGAGAAGCCGAGAAGGAGCGTCTGGGCGCCATAGGGCGTGTCAATGCGATGCACAGGGAGAGGTTCTCGAGCACTTCGGAGCCCGACGTCGAGGGCACCGAAGGTGAAAGCTCCGATGCAGTCACTACACCGAAAAAAACGCTCGGCAAAGCGAAAACACAGCGAGGTTTTGCCTGATCTCTTCGATAGTAACATAGCTGCCTTTACCACCGCGCTGCAGAGAAGCGACGAGGCGCCCATAAAATTCGAAGAGCGGCGCTTTGAGAGAGACCTCGAACAGCGGGAGAAGGATAGAGAAGAGCGACGTAAGGAACGAGAAGAGGCAAACAACTTGGAGCTTGAAAATTTTAAGCTGATGATGGAGGCGTTCAAACAGCGCTACTAAAACGCTGACGACTTCCGCATCTTAGCCCCCACACACTTTCAATCCCCCTTCCTTAAAAGTACAAGTCCGAGAACTGCCCACACTCCAAGGGCGGGGGAGGGGGTGCGTAGAAGTGGGGCGAGGCGACGAGGGGTTTTAGGGGGATTAAGGCGGAGGTGGAAGGCGCAGTCACAGGTCCGCAAGCTATGACAGGATACTGGGCCGGAGTAGCGAGCGTGGAAATGGGCAAGCAAATTCGTCGCCGTCATCGCCCAGCTGTTTCTGACCCCTTACACCCGCCACGCCAAAACCCTTCAAGAGAGGGTGGTTTGCACTTGAAATAAATCGAAGGCTCATTACGATATAAACAATTCTTTATGTTGCTAAGTAGCATCCCAGCAAAGTACAAAGAGGCCACGGGAGCTTGCTGGACACGTAGTTTTCTCTTAAAGTCCATACGCTTCCAGAATAGCTTGATCTCCTTGAACATCCATTCACCGGTCACCCATTG